AAAACTAGGCTAGATGTGTGACGTAGTCATGCTAAAACCAGGAACGTTGTATGATTATATAATAGCAAGGTTAAAGTTTAAATTTTAGCAAATGTGCATTTTGAATTATTGTATGTATATTGCATAAAAGAGGTAAATGATATGTTTGATTTATAAGTTGTATATTTAATTATTATTACTGTAAAGGTATTATTATTGTAATTATTATTTTATGTACTATGCACATTTAATAAATATGTATTTATTAACATTTGCATGTATGCATGATTGTGATAGAATTTATTTTTTATAGGATTTTTTTTGGTTAAAAGTTAAAGGTTAAAACATCATGTTTTGAAGATAGTTATTTTAGATAGCTTTGTGGGTTTACAGTTAAAACTTCATGTTTTGAAGATGGTTATTTTAGATAGCTTTGTGGGTTTACAGTTAAAATGAGTTTAGTAAAATATGGAAAAAGGGTATCAGTATATATGATTAATTATGAATAATTGTAGAAAATTAGTTTAAAAGGATAATTATTATGTAGTAAGACATCATTCCAGATACATAAGGTTTTGTTTATACACCAATTCTATACACATACTTCATCATATGAGTGAGTGAAATGATTTACAAGTTTTCCCTTTTCATCACTTATATGATTCTGATATCCAATCAAATATAAGATTTTGTTTACACGCCATTTCAGATGGCAGAAAACCATACACTCTGTATTGCAAGCATACTCCATTCCTGGTATAGCTTTGATTAGTAAAAATCTATATATGAAATCCATATTTTTAAATCCTCTTACAATTGATACAATTTACGTACTCAATTAATATATACAGGTATATATTTTTTGTACAATTTTGCACATTTATACATGCACACATATATGCATTACGGGGCATTTGCGAAATACCCCAAAATCTAAGAAGTTTGACTACAAGTGATAAGTCAATTTAATTGACTCTGGATATATGTAATTTATCGTTATGCCAATTTAATTGATATCGATATTACATATTTAATTATTTTATGATTTAACTATGATATAATATATATTTTTATGATTTAACTATGATATAATAATAAAACAAACACAAGTTAATAAAAAATTTTATCGTTATCAACTTTTCAAAATTATTATTCGAAATGAAAGAAATTGGTGAAAAAAATTCAATTATCTTGTAGATCGCACGATTAAATGGAAGTCACCACGAAGAAGTTTCAATATTACATTGTAAAGAAAGGTGTTTATCCACCTGAGTCCTATCTTGCTTATACTAGAGGGTCAAATCATTATCTGATTTCCGATAATTATATTGTAGAAACAACTTATGACAAGAACGAAAAAACAGTTACTTGCTTTATTAATTATTATAAAAAAATACTTCAATATAAAATAAAATTCAGATTACATAAGGATGAATATATATGTTCGAACCTTTCACCAACAGCTGCAGCAAATGATTATCTAATGGTTTATTATAAAAAAATTGCCAATGAGGAAAAAACTAAGAATCCAAATGTAAATATATTTATAAAAAATATGAATTTTATCTTAATAAATTTTTGCTAAGTTTAATTTAATAATA